GTATAATATTATTTAACACTTCGGTGTTCGTGGAACGACGAACGAAACAGGACAGATTCACGGCCGCCGTGATAAATAAAATTCGCATAGACGGCACGGCGGCGTGGGATGACGTTTAATCTACATATTATATAACTCACAAGACACATTTAATACAAAAATAAAACAATACTAATAATATGATATGTGTGTGTGTGAGTCCAGCTATTCCTCCGTGACCAGTGATACTGATAATATAAAAATAATGCTATGTTATTATGTTGCGGTGGCAACACATATGGCTCGTAGTTATCCCGTGTTTTTATTTATTCATTGAAATATTATATATTACATAATACTATAGTAATAAGTAGAGCGCGGATTTTTATGCACTTAAAATTATTGAAATATGCAAAAAATATGGAGTCAAAATCATGAAAATATGTAAAAATATGCAAAAATCTTTTATTTATTTAAAATTTACAATACAACTTATAATAATTAATTACTTAAAAAGGTACTTGATAAAAAAAAATTTAGGGAATTTTCTGAAAAACTTAATTTATTTATTTATTATTAAAATGAATAATCATGTGCGTTTGACGTCAACCGAAGTTATTGGGGCATATTTGAAGCAACCTAGTATTGTCGGGTCTTGATAAAGATCTTGGAGACGAACGTTTTCGCCTAATAACACTGAATTAATTTTTCGTAGAATCTTCAGACCTTCATTTTTGTTGGAAAGCTCGTTTAGTTTTATTGCAAGTGTTGCACCTTCAATCCAGGAATAGAATTAATTTATTCTTTTGTTTCGTTAATTATTGAAATGTTTTCATGTAAAGTCATATTTTGAGTTTCAAGTTTTTTTATGACTATCACGATTATTTATCTTATAAAGGCTTAAATAAATATATATATATACATTGTTCCGGCGAGGAAAATAAATAACAGTGGACTGTATAATTTTGTAATTGATTTTATTTGTTAAGTAAATAAATTATTATAATTTATAAGTTGCTTGAAGTCTCTGTGCAAGTCTGCCTGGGTAGGTCTTGCTTCAGAGGCTCCGTTGAACACACTGCCCATTTCGTGCTCCGCACTGGCATTTATACCCTGGTCTCGCTCGCAGGAGCCGCCCATAAAATGTCTGTGGTTGGTGATTGGGCGGGGTTGAATGGCGGCGATAACGCTGGTTGGCCGCTGCTGCTCTCGAAGCCACGCCCACAGCGTTCTGTCGTCGTGTGCTTATTTATTAATTCTTTGACGAATACGCGGGTCATCAATACGATTCGTTTGAGCAATTATGTAACTGTACATTATTGCAACCGGTGTCCCTTGTGACCGAACCGATCTGACCCGCGCCGTACATAATATATAGATCCGGCCGATACAGTCGTACGTCTCCCGACGTCAAATGTGCTTGGTGCAACATTTTATTCGTGACGAACGACTCACGATAGTGCCGACCGACTGTATTCCGGATCTCATCATATTATGCACACAACTAGTTGGCTGACTGCCCAGTGTGATGTCAGTTTTACATAAATATAATACCATTAAGAAATATAATAAGAAATATTATAGAATAGATACTTCGCGTGGCGCGAACATACATTATTATTTAGTGACTATGAAATTTAGTTTTAATTTTTCTACATGACAAAATATTATTTTCTACATTTTTATTAAATTTTCGCTTCAATATACAATACTTTTAAATTTTGCCAAAATATGCAAAAATATGCAATTACCTTTAAATATGCAGAAATATGCAAGTACAATTTTCTCCATTAGCTTCAAATTATGATGATTCGTGGAGATAACTGACAACAATCCAAAAATATTAAAAGAAAAAAAATATGCAATCGCATAAAAATCCGCGCTCTAGTAATAAGGTAGTGGCGTAGTTAGGAATTTGTACGGGGGGGGGGATATACGTTTTCATCAATACTTTGATCAAAATGTCGCCAATAAAAAAAAGTTTTTGGGGGGTCTATCCCCTTAATCCCCTGTAATCATGCCCCTGAATAAGGTATAGTCTATGAGTTTGTTATTTTAATTTTCTCTTGAATTGTTGATGTTTGTAGTCGTCTTTCCTAAAGTAATATAATATTTATTTGTAGCTTGATATTAACTTTGCATCTTGGGGTTCAACTGGTGGTTGGATACCAAATTCAAATATTATCAAATCAAAAAAAGCATGCAGTAGTGTAAAATATTTGTATGGTAATGGTTGGAAAATATTTGCCAAGGGGTTTAATATGACTTATATCTGCCCAGTACCAGTGGTAATATAATATATTATAAACACATTAAAACCTATTGTACCTATAATTATATAATTACCACAATGGATTTATATTATATAATACATATTATTTTATGACTTGAAATTGTTAAGTTAATATTAACAACTAATAATACAAACGCATTAAATAATGTTATGCTATTATGTGGGACCATTTCATTAAGCATTAAAATATAATAATTATAAAATGAATAATGTGTGAGCTTCGCTATCAAATTATTTTGTATTTGTAACGATTTTTTTTATACATTTTTTCATGGTACATAATATATGTTACATCAGGAATTGACTTAAAGAAATTAGATGATAACAACTTTCCCAAAGTATATTTTTATGGAAATATAAACTTTCGCTTATGTTTAAAAATGTAGAAAATAAAATAGTTAGCTGCACTTTTGTGGAGTTTTATATAATACGACCGTGGGAAACACCAATTTGATTAAATTATTCTAAATAATATTAAAATTATTGAATTATTATAGAACCACAAAATATACAACCTACCTAATATATTATATTATTTTATTTAGCGATTATAAATATTATTATACTTATAAATTGTACACATCATCAAACTAGTACATATTGTAATCAGTTTTTGATTAAATTGATTTCGTTATTTGGTTGTTATTTAAATAAAAATCACCATGTAAAATGTTGCTCTTGCGTGACTACTTTTCTCACATGTCTCACATATTATTAAATATAAAACCTGTATACAGGCTTATTGTAAAAATAAATTACAGACTGTTGGTTTTTAAAATAAAGTTTATATTTTATTTTTAAGATATTTACAATCTGTTAACTAGACTGTAAATCTGCAGGTATTGTGATTTGTCGGGCTTTGGTATGTTGGGATTTTACATGTCGTTATTACCATTAGGATTTCAACCCAGATCCACAAAAAATTAATAAATTATTAACAAAGTAATTTAACAAAAAAAAAACTGACTAGTGGAAATTTACAAACTTGTGGACTTCAAAAGTGTATAATTTTTGAACTAATAGTCTGAGTGAGAAATATTCTGATTGCAACATTAGTTATTCTTAACTCATTGTAATACAAAGGTTTCCAAAATAAAATTTTCAAAATCTAATCACATTTATATCACAAAATAGTAGTTTTATCTTAAATTTTAAGAAATAACTTTTTATTAGGTGAAAAATATGTTTCCCCGGGGCTCAAAATATTCAAACACGGCCCTGTCGTTTATCTGGCTATCTGGGAAACATTAAAACGTTTAATGTCTGATCCCACGTGATCGAGTTATTACAATTATTAATTTTTGACGAAAATAATGCATTTTTATTATAATATTAAATATATTATTATGTGTATTTTTCATATTAATATATTACATCATTATTGTTGTATAAGCTATAGCTTTAAACAAAAATCAATACTGACATATCTACCGCAGAACGGTGTGAATAGGTTAGTAAAATAATAAATTAGAATAACATTTCTTTGTTATTATACTTATATTAGCTTCTATTATATATATCATCAATATATTATTATATATTGGTATTTGGTACTATTCAAACATTAGAAAAGTTAGAAATGAACGAATAATCAATTTGAATTTTGGTGCAAATTACAAACTTATTTAAAAATGTTTTTGAAAATTAAACGAGCATGTTTTATTTTGGGTTAACGTCAATGTAACTCAGTTCGTATTATAATTATACCTATATTGTTTATAGTGACTGGTGTAGAAAATTATTACAAAGGTTTAGTTCAAGTTGGTACAGCACTGCTGCAGTGCTGTACAGTAAGTGTCGAGTGGGTTAATGCTATAATATGGATGTTGAAATATATGACATATCACTGACCATTGTAGAAAAAAGAAAATTCTAAGTGGAGGTGGTCGCTGGTCAGCCATATATCATCATGACATGTCGACATGATATTGCTATTATATTATACTAATTTTAAATTGTATTTAGGTACAAACAATTTTTTTATATCATGGTACAACTACTACAACGTACTGATCCACCAAATATCATAGCATAGGTAGTTATATTTATTTTGTACCTAATAACAAGCTTTAAGTAGGTAGTAAACAATAATTGAAAAATGTGTATATTGTGATACCCTAATCCCAGACCTATTGAGATTTTCCATTGCCCAGACGGCTGTATTACATTAGGTAATTGTAGTACAATACTTCATGAGATGAAAATCCTAATTTGATAAGTTAAATAAAATTAGGTTAGTTACTAGTTACATAAAATAGTTTTATTTGAAATACTCCTTATAGACTAAAAATTAACAAACATTTTTATTTTAGAATATAATAGAATAAAATAGAATATACAGACTGAGCCATTTTGTACATAAACAAGACAGGTTTATATTATGGTTTACAACAAAAAAAAAAGGAAAAATACGTAAAGTTATAAAGAGCATTATAATGAAGAAGTTAATATTATTTTATACAACAAAACGGGAATAAGTAATAATTAAAGATGGATGTGAACTTAAGAGTATTACAACAAAACAACAATACAAATGAATATGATGAAAGAGCTAACTAAAAGGTGTTCATTATTTTTTGCCCTTATGATATTTTGAACCAGTCAGCAATTCAAACTCTCGGTTAATAATAATTATTTTATGAGTGTATTTATATTTTCTACAATACGCATTATCTAATTGTAAAACTATAAATACTTAAAATAAAATGTATAAAAGGTAGGTACTAATTTATTCAGATTTTGCTTTATTGTTCATGATATTTTTCAAAATATGTTTATGAAACATGTTTATCAATATATATGTTATAAATAAAATAATACATACAAATACTATCATCGCAGCGATCACATCCAACAAAAGGTATTGGTACCAAGTTAGATTAAGTGAGTGAGGCTTCAAATGCGTGGCACCTTTATGGCGAATTACATATTCAGTCCAGTAAAGTACTGACTGTTCTGGGGACATCGGTCGGTCTTTGAATATGTCGGAGGCGATTTTAGCGTTTCGCATATACCTATAAAATAAGTTTATGTTAAAATAAAATAAAATTTCCATTCAAAATATTGTCGTTTTAGTAAATTAAAAAATAAATCTCAACAAACTCACTTTTCATCATTTACTAGTTCTAATACATTTTTTAAAAACATATCTTTTGTCACAGATAAAATATCCATGGAAATGGCCATTCCAGCGTTAACCAAGTTGTCAATGTTCCTTGGCTGATCGTAAAATAATGGGAATCCAAGAACTGGAACGCCAGCATCCACTGTTTCATATACTCCTGACATACCTCCGTGACTGATGAATAATTTTACATTGGGGTGCACTTAAAATCAAAATACACTTATGTAAACAAAGTTCTAACTCACAAAATACAAAATTCATTAGATATAAAATATTACATAGAATATCCCGTTGAGGTAACCATTTTCTTATCATTACGTTTTTTGGTTTATTCACCATTTCTCCTTCATATTTCCAAAGTATTCTTTGAGGAACTTGGGCTAATGCTTCCTTCAGTGGATTTAGTATATAATCAGGAGATTTTGACATATTAACAATTGAACCTAATGTGAACAAGATAACCCCATGTGGAGAATTTTCAATAAATTCTAATATGTCCTAAAACAAAAAAAAAAAAATATTTATACCAATGATTCTTTTATAATTGAACTCTCACTATTTCAAAAAGTATACATGATTTTTTAAAAAAAATATTTATATAGTTTTTAGTCGATAAAAACAACATTAAAAAAAATATATACGTATTTATTTATATTTTGTATCCATATATTTATGTATCAAAATATTCAGAAAAATATTCTGCTTTCGAAGATGAAACTAAAGATGTATGTTGACATATTGTTATTAAAAAAAGTAAAAGCTTGTTAATGTAAATTACTTAAAAATATAATGTTTTATAATAACTTTAAACCACGTAAAAAAAAAATATTTGAATAATGTGTGTCCCACGTTATTTGAATCACCCGGTTTATAATATTTATGAATTTATTTTTAGATATTATTGAAATTGTCTATTTTTTCATTTTATGAAAAAAAAATTTATTATTTATTGCGATATTAGGTTTCAAATAACATTTTATATACCTACTTAAAATTATTTATGTTTCATTAAATGCAGGGAACAATTATTACTCCAGTACCTAGTTAAAAAAATTATATTTTTTTATATTAGTTAATAATATAATCTGAGCTTTTTGATAGATACTGCTGAAAAATCTGATTTTCAAACTACACTTATAACTTGTTATTCACTCATTCTCGTAAAAAGTTTTGATGTTTTGGCTTAAAAATCCGCTCATGAAAATGTACGAACTATTAATAGTAATACTGAATAATTCTAGCTCTAAATCCAATTGTTATATTGGAAATCATAGAAAAACATTGTGCTGTCGAATATTAAATGTATGCCGTTATTCAAAAAAGATAATTACTTAGATAATGATAACAATAAAATATGTAAAAAAATATTTCTAAAAACTTCAATAAGTAGGTACTTTTCTAGCAATTTTGTGCTCTTTTTTAAATTACGTCAATATTTTTAACTTACATTTGGTAAACTCTTTGGAGGTTTCAAATGAATTCCGCCGACTTGTACGACGTTTTGTGGAAATGGTCTCGAAGACTCACTTATGAAATGACTATTTACAAATGTCAGAGAAGGTTGAACAATATTTGTCACCCAATTGTACGGTCTATTGATCATATACTTTCTTATACATTTGTCAACACTTAAAAGCATCATATTGTACCCCAACAATACTGTATTTGATAATCTTTGCACAAATGTCTTAGGAATGGCGTGATCAGCATATATATGTGAAATTGTAGCTGGATTTGGTATGTCACCGGTAATGACGCGTTCATCAAATGTTACCATTGGCGATGTAACCAAATATATCAACGGCAAGTTTAGTTTACTAGCCAAATAGAATTCACAATCGTAGCCCAGTGTTTCAATAATGACTACGTCGAAATTTGAATTTCCTTTTTCTTCCATTATTTTATTTAACTCAACACTTTTATACATTCCATCACATATAAATATACGTTTAGTTCTAATGAATTCGATCATCACTTTCGCAGATCCGAAGGATTCAATTGAATCGATTAAACTCATATCTAGAAATTTTAGATGATCATTAGATGTATCTACTTCCGTATAGTTGTCTCGTTCACCGTCGGGAAATGGTGTAAACACAGTGACATGATGGCCATTATTTGAGAAAACACGAAGTATTGAACTGATGAAATTCCAATGACTTCTGCCGGCAATTGGGCTTACGGCTAATATTCTTGCTGATTCTACTGGTAATATCCACGAGCAGATTAACGTATAAACCAAGAAAATTGAAAATGTATATGTATGTAACGTATTTGGTTTCCTCGTCATAGTTATTGTTAATTATAGACACCAAAAAAAAAAAAAAAATAAAATATTTATATTAACTATTTAAATGTAAGTGCAGTTGGTAGAATATTCAACTGTTTAAGAATCATTCGTTATATATTGAAAAAACTAATGTAAATAAATATAAATATGTTAATATTATGTTATCAATAACCAATAATAATCTATTATGCTATCTTAAATCAATATACTTTAAACTTGTTATGACAAATGTCTTAAAACCATACGTAATAAAATCAAAATTAAATACTGATGTACTGTAGAACAGAATACAATAATGTCATATTTTATATCTAGACGTAAGAGGTATACACTATACATGTTCAAGATATTATTTCAAGTGGATTGAGATTTCAGAGTATATTATATTTTAGATTCATCATAAGAAATTAAATATTCAACATTATTTATTTAAATTTTTATTTTATATTTAACATGAATAATGAAGTGTCTTAGATTTATTTTTTTTTTATAATCGTATTTAAAAAAAATATATTTATTTTATTTATATATTTAATATATATATTTTTAATAAGTTTATCTTATTTGCCAAATACAAATCACAATCATGGCCCACATTTTCAACGAATAATACGTCAAAATTGGAATTTTCTATCACTACCATCAATTTTTGTAACTGTTCATTTTTATCTATTTGATCACACGAAATTGTAAGATGATTTCTAATCACTTCAATCATCGATATCGGATCTCCAAATAAATCCAATAAATCGATTAAATTCATCCCTAAAAATTCTTGTCTATGTTCGTTAGATGTCTCCACTTCCGTACCTATAGTTGTCTCGTTCGCCGTCCAGAAATGGTGTAAACACAGTGAAATGATGGCCATTATTTGACAAAATACGAAGTATTGAACTGACGTAATTCCAATGACTTCTGCTGGCAACTGGGTTTACGGCTAATATTCTTGCTGATTCTACCGTTAATATCCTCGAGCAGACTAACGTGAAAACCAAACAAATTGAAAATGTATATGTGTGTAAGGTACTCTGTTTTATTAAATAATTAATTAATAATTATAGATACACACAAAAAAAAAAAATGTAATATTAAATTGTAATAGTGTTAGTATAATATTTAACGCCACTTATGACCCATTCAATCAGAAACATAATTGTTATAAAAATATGCAATCCTCATGATCTAATTAAGTAGATATATGTACTTATTATGATTATTTAATTAAAAGTAAATAGTAATACAGTAAAACTTCCATCTTACGAACTTCTATTTCATGAAATTTTTGTTAATACATATCTTATTTAGAAGTTAGAACTATCACCAAATACATGTAACCAGCTGTCGCCCGTGGCAAATTAAATAATGCCAGTGAATTCGAATCATCTTAAACTCTGTTAAATATAAAGTACTAAGTAGTAATAACACTTAACATATTTAAAAATCTTTTGGGTGGTTACAGTTCTCAAGTTATGTCCAATCATAATCACAATTTATTTTTCTAAACCAAAAGTTGCTAAATAAACAAAAAATTATTTGATTTTCGTCAACTATTGAAATTCACATTTCACAAAATCCTTTCTTGGTGCGCCTACACATAGTAAAAGTAAATTTGATAAAAATATTAAATGAATAGGTTAGTTTGTTTGACTTCATATTTTATATAATATACAGATTCAATTTAATATTTTTGTTGTCTATGAGGATTCGTAATATTATGAAAAATTAAATTTATTATACAAATATTAAATAATTATTATAATAATATATTTACTGTTAGAGTATCGTCAAAAGGTATCAAAAATGTTAAATTCCCTTTGTACTCTTTTGTACTTGATGTAATTTTACTAATAAAAATATTTAATTGAATCGTATGGTTTTTTGTTGATCCACAAAGGTATACTTTCTCAAATACCACACGATATTCTCCCTGTAATAAGAGTAACATTTATAAAGCATAAATGTATGAAGAAATGGCATGCATCATTTGTATATATCAATAACAATTAATATATATATTTCTTAAATCAAGAAGATAATTCATTTACCACTGGAATTTCGGCATAAAAATGTTTTTTGATTGAGACAGTGAGAGAAATCCAAGAAATACGAACACTTTAATTTTTTTCATTTTTGGAGTAGTATTTTATTTGAACAATAATAGATAGTGTATCATAAGTTTTAACTGTGTAACAGTTGAAAAAAAGAGTTGAATAACAGCCATGAGTAGTATAACATATTGATAGGTACAATTATAGCAGTTGATATGCATATGCATATTTAATAAAAAATTTAATAAATTGGGCCGAAAATGATACATTTTGAAATTTTGAAGAAAGTGTGCAAAAAAAGCTAAATAAAATAGGTACATAGTTTCAATTTTCTTATAAAAAAAACGGTGTATAAAGAATAAAAAATTAAAGATTATCTAAATATAATAATAAATAAAAATAAAACACATGTTTGAAAACTTCAAAATAAAATAAATGTCTAGTTTCTAATAACAATATATTTTTTTAATACTAACGGTATACGGTACAATACAACTAGATCGTTGTTTTTTCTTGTAAATCCATTTTTATGGACATTTGAACTAAAAACGTTTAAAAAAAAAAATTGTGCATACTTTATGTATTAAGTAACATGGAATTTTGATATTTGGACATAACTTAACAAAAAAATTATTGAAAAACTTTGCATTAAACTCCAAGAAGTTTCTAAAACAAAATTAATATTCAAAATTTTGTTAAAATAAGGCATACAAAATAGATTTTTTCCAAACTTGCAGGTTATAAAATATTTACTATAGGTAATATAATAATTAAAAATAAGTTCAATAATTGTTATTATGGATAATGGATATGCTGAATTTGATTTCAATGACAAATATTATTCTATACGAAAAACGATTGTGCGATAAGACCGTCGATCAGTCAATATTAATATTTTATGATATGACTTACACCAAATTAATTAATTTACTATTATTAAAATAGTAGATACCTAATTTACCTAATTACCTACCTACCTAAGATTATATTTGACCAAAACATTGAAAATATCATTGGATGGTATAAAATATATTTTTCATACTTATATTAAACATATTATAAAAGTTTCAAGTAGGTACCAACGAACAAATAAATAATATGTTTGTTTAAATACCTAATTTCATACAGATTTGAATTAAAAAATATGACGTCTATAAAAAAACTCAGTTAAATTATTTATAATATTTGATTTCAGTATGGACTGTAGTAACGATAAACTTTGTACTCAAAGTTCAAGCTTGAACTGTATAAACTGAACATTTTATAATTTCTTATAAAATGATTTTACAAATTCTCATGATTTTGATGAATTTTCTCAAAATTTGAAATTAGAATATGTATAAAAAAAATTCAAATTAAATTTTTATGGGCGTTTGAAATTCCAATTTTTACAACATTTGATATTCACTCGATTTCTCATGTAACGATTTTCTTATTTTGGTGTAATTGAAAAACGAATGACTTTAGATTCTTGAAAATTTCACTGAATGTTTATATTATCATTTCCTATACACCACACAATTTTGAAAATATTTTGAAGCTTTTTGAGCTGTTTACGGATATTTTCAGTTTTCAATTTTTTTTAGTTTTTTTTTTTTCTGTATATATCAATAAAATTGTATTTGTTTTTTAAAAAAGCGTGAAAATTTAATACAAGGCTCCTGATATGTTGTTACAATAGCAGTTGAAAAATATTAAAAATACATAGGCACATATTTTTTTTATAAGCATTGAAATTTCAAATTTGACAAAATTTAACACATTTAATTTTAATAATAATTTTGTAGTTAAAAATGTATAAAATGTTCAATTTTTATAGCTAAGAATTGAAAATTTAAAACAAGGTTAAACTTAAATATATAAATAAATAAATATATATATTACTTTATTCACCTTAATATCATCAAATATACTTCGTAATATCATAGGCTGCTTGACCGTTTTCGCTCAGAATCGTTTTTCTTATACCATGATATTATATCATTGAATTCAAATTTTACACCATCCATTACAGTGACCCACTTGTAACCTATTTTACAGCAGAGCGGTTTTTTATGTTGAATGTACGGAACTTAATGGAATTTAAAATCTTAGATACCTGTACATAAAAATATTTTTATGAATTTCTAATCGGAAGTTATTTTTCAAATGTTCGTGACTTTTGTCAAAATTTTAACTACAGAAAAATTTTTTATTTACGTTCAACTTTGTTTTTAATTTCGTCTAACAGCAACTTACGAGGAACCTTATATATGTAGAACTCTCTTTCATAAAACATTCGCTGAGAGGGGCTCTTCTAAATATTTTCCAAATCAAGCACTATACCTAGTATTTTTTACTGATTTTTAAAATATGGCACATACACACTTGTACCTATAAGATAATATTATAATAATACAAGCATTATTTGATTATAAAGGTATAACACTTGCACTATATTCATTATATTATCATTAATAGGTATAATGTAATGATTTTGGCAATTTGAGTTCAAAAATTAATACGTGCACTATTTCGACAAGTTAGGCTAAAGGTAAACCAGGTAATAACTAAGTATAATAAGAGTTATAATTATTATAAGACTATTTATTAGGCTTAAAATAAGTTCGATGGGCTTTTTTGACGTTATACAATCGTTACCTACATCTAAACTGAAAACATATTATTGAATAGATTTTTATCGACACATTTTATTATCTTACCATGTATTGTCCCGCTAGAACGTGCGTAATCGTATTTTGAAAAACGTAAAACTCGATTACCGTCGTACTTTACCATATGATTCAAATGCGATAAGTATAAAAATATAATATTATCGCCTAAGACGCATAATATATTTTTTGGCAGGTGTTTATTATAGTCCCTCACTCCATCATATAATTGTTTTCCTCTTTATCCATAGCATATAGTAACAATATGTTGTCGAACTGGATGAATGTATGGTATTTAAAAGATAATAATTATGTCATCAGACTTTAATCATAGAGTTGTTTTTCCCAACACTGTACAATATATATTTATTCGTTTATACCTACTACACTTAATATAATTTCAGTCGGACTATCATTTGCACACATCGAAAACGTACTATACGTCTATACTGCACACCCAAAATTTTTAGAAAACAATAACTAATGTAAGTGGCATATATTATTATAACATAAGATAGACGATTATATAATATATATGATAGGCGGTGGGTACATGTTATATGATTATGATATTGTTTAAGCTAGGTAGAGAACAAAATTTCCGAGAAAAAAAATGTAAAAATAAATAAATTAATAAAATAAATTGGGAAAATTTGGTTTCATTTAAAATTTTCGGAAAAAATGGTTTTGCCGAAAAAAACTGTTTTTTTTTCCTTAAAATTGAAAAATTGCATGAAAAAATAGTTTTTTTTTCTAAAGAACTGAAAAAGTAATGTAGAGTGGAAACAATCTAATAAATAATGACAGTTGATAATCATATAACATACATATTATACATACCATTAAAGTCTTTAGTTGATAAATCTAGAGGATTCTATACTTGATTTATAAATAATTATAATTTGTAATATTAACCAGTAACTACTAAAGTACTAACTATTAAGTATATTTTACTTAAGTAGTTATTTCTTATTAATAATATGTTTTAAAACATTACTGCAAACATTTTGAATTATAATTGTGTAATATTTCTATTAAATTTTATTTTTGCTATACCTAATTCCTACATACGTTTTAAAAAAACAAATATAAAACAAAATGGTTAAACATTTACCATAATATTAAATAATTAAAAACTCTATATTCATTGTTGAAAATACCGAACACGTTACTGGAGAAAATACAACAATCAATATTATTTAAAATTAAATTTTTTTTTTTTTTTTTTCATTTGGTTGTAAATCCTTTGTACAGTATTATAACAATATATTTGAGATTTGACTGTCACAAAAATGCACAGCGTAATCCATCAGCCAGCCAATTTATTATAAGAAGTGGAAGATGAATATCGGGGATGACGAAACCAATAGAAGAAATTCTTCATCTCAATTCCAAACACAAGAACAGCCATCATGGTGGTCCAGATTCATCGACATATATTTTGCCCGATTGAAAACTACATACTGGAACAGAGGATACGCAATAGTTTTGCTGGGGGAGGTGATGCTATACCTTCTCGAGGTCTCCCCTGTGAGTAGTGTATTCCTGGTCTGCTCTCCGAATCTCTCAAAGATTTTTCCACGGATCAAACAATGAATACACGAAACCAAATAGCATCGAACCGACAGCCAAACATCCACGGATCTCCTGGCTCATTCGACAAAAACAGTCCTTTTAAGGACTACCCCACTGACGCACGTGATCATCGCGTAAATACCATACAAAATAAAATACCCTTCAAAAAATATAAAAAATCAAAAACACAAAAAAAGAAATCATACATGCATATGGACGAACATCAATACCCTAGTAAAAAAGAGTCACAAAGAACAATACGAGTAGCGCACTTAAATGTAGAAGGATTAACGAGAGCCAAGTCCGACATTATAAGCAGGATATTTAAAGACACAGATGTACTGGCATTACAAGAAACTCACGTACCAGAAAATGAGACAAGACGCCTGAAAATACCTGGTTTTAATATGATAGACTATAAAGGACGCGCAAAACATGGATTGGCTACATATATTAACCAAAACTATAAAGAACAACATATAAATCCTGTTGAGGGTAACGCACACACAATTGGCGTATCTCTAGGAAATCTGTTAATATACAACGTCTACAAACCACCCTCAGAAAGATGGTCCAACACTGTACTCCCAGTCCGACAAGACGTCCCCTCAATTTACATAGGAGACTTCAACTCACATAGTACTGAATGGGGCTACTCTAGAGATAACGAAGATGGGGAAAAACTCACCAGCTGGGCCACAATCCATCGCTTACATCTAGTGTACGACGCTAAGCAGGGGGGAACTTTTAAATCAGGCCGCTGGGGGACGACCACATCACCTGATCTATGCTTTACGTCAAGAGACAAGGATGACCAACCTATAAGAGTATCACGTTCAATCATACCAAACTTCCCCAAAAGCCAACACAAACCAGTTATTATAGACATAGGAGTAAATTTCCCAAGGATCAACAAACCCGAAATGCCCCGGTGGAATCTACGAAAAGCTGTATGGCCAAATTTCACTAAATACATGGAGGAGAACATAAATCGCATTCCCCCCATCCCAGAAAACTATCTAAGATTTGTTAAGCTTATTAAAAAAGCCGCTTCACTGGCTATACCAAGAGGGCATAGACAGAATTACATCCCATGTTGGAGCAAAGAGTGCGACTCCCTACTAAGTGAATACGATGAAACCGGAAATGAAGTAACTGCCAACCGATTGATAGCTCTCCTGGATGAAGAGAGAAGAAACAGATGGATAACTGCAATGGGAGAAATGGATTATACGCATTCAAGTAGGAAAAGTTGGTCACTCTTGAGAAAGCTTGGTGCAGCACAACCAACAAGAAAGGTTGGTAGTGTAGCTGCCGGAGATGTTGCTAATATACTATATAAAACATCAAATATTAAACCCCATAAAAACGAAAAAATTGAGGTGAAAAGGGAATTCCAAGAAGAGCTAAGGAGGTGCAAAGAAAAGTCGACTCTTATGAACGAGTTCACTACTGAAGAGGTCTATACCGCATTAAAATCTGTGAAAAACGGAAAAGCAGCTGGAGTAGATGGAATCCTTCCAGAATTCCTTAAAAATTTAGGACCAAGAAGCATTTGCTGGATTGCAAAATTGACCAGTAAAATAGCAGACACTAATGTTCTTCCAAGACTCTGGCGCGAAACTAAAGTTATAGCTATTTTGAAACCCAACAAAGAAGCCAGGAACCCAAAAAACTACCGTCCTATATCCCTGCTGTCAACAATGTACAAGCTGTTTGAAAGACTCCTCCTAAGACGCCTAGAACCACTCTTAGAAGAATCCATGCCAATAGAACAAGCTGGTTTCAGGAAAAATAGAAGTTGTTGTGACCAAACCCTTGCATTAGCAACGCACATTGAAAATGGTTTCCAACGGCAGAAAAAATCCGGAGCAGTTTTTCTGGATCTGTCAGCTGCGTACGATACGGTCTGGAAGAGAGGACTATTACTAAAACTGGCTAAAATAATAAAATGTAAAACAACGCTAAGACTACTAGAGAACCTAATCTCTAACAGAAAATTCAGTGTATCTCTCAATGGGAAAGTAAGCAGTTACAAAATACTACAAAATGGACTACCACAGGGATCTGTATTATCACCAATTCTTTTCAACGCATATACTGCTGACATTGCCTGCACGAGCTCAAGAAAATTCATATACGCTGATGATGTAGCACTTGTCGCCCAAGCCAGAACCTTCACAGAACTTGAGGAAACGCTAAAACGATGATCTAATAATCTTACAAAAATATTTTCGAAAGTGGCATTTAAAACTAAATCCAAGCAAGTCTGTAACAAAGGTTTTCCATCTTAACAACCGAGAAGCGAACAGAGAATTAAAGATACAAATTGATGGGGAAAATATTGTATCAGAAGAATGTCCCAAATACCTCGGTCTGAAATTTGATAGGACCCTAACATATAACCAACACCTGGAGGGAACGAAAAATAAACTAAAATCACGCAACAACATTATGGCTAAGTTAGCTAGCACCACCTGGGGCTGCCACAACAATGTACTCCGGACTACAGCACTGGCGTTGGTTTATAGCGTAGCCGAATACTGTGCACCCGTGTGGGCTAGAAGCGCTCATTGCGCTAAAATTGACGTACAACTAAACCATACCATGCGTATCATATCAGGTACAGTCAGGTCCACTCAGACAATATGGTTACCCACCCTTTCGAATATAGCCCCCCCAGACTTAAGGAGACTATCACACACCACAAAGATATTACATAAGCTAAAAAGCCTGCTACCAGTTTTGCCACTACAAATTGACATCCTCGAACATCCGCCATTACGCCTTAAGTCTAGAGCTCCCATATGGCATGCAGAAACTCAAAGCGAATCAGTTGAGTACCTATGGACGAGACGCTGGGAACAGTCAGAACCCCGTAATAAAGACCTGATCAAAGAACCATTTAAAAAAGTCCCTGGCTGGGATGGCACAAGGGCTACACGGACAACGCTTAATCGAATAAGAACGGAACAAGGAAGATGCAACTACCTACTTCACAAATGGGGAATGGTAGACTCTCCACTTTGCGAATGTGGAGAAACGCAGACAATCAAACATATGGTTGAGTCGTGCCCCATTACAATGTTCAAAAAAGGATTAACAAAACTACACGAGGGTGGACCAACAGCTATAAAATGGCTTGAAGAACTAAATACTCGTCTGTGATTTTTATTGCTATTAGTATTAATGTTATTATAATTTACTATACCTACTATAACCTACCATACTAACACTTTATATATTTTATTACTTGTTTTTAAATAGTTGACTAGTTATCTTAATTATCATATTTGTTTATTTGTTTTAATTTTACTAACTTTATCTATAACATTTCTCACGTTATCTAAAGTCGAATATGTCATATGCAAATAATAATAATAATACCCACCACCTATAAAAAAAACAGCATCTTTTGAGGAGACCTAAGGAGTCAGGCCCACCGGCGCAAATGAGGGGGGGCTTTAGGGGCTAAGCCCCCCAAATATTTACTACATTTTTTAAACGTTTAGTCAATACAATTACAATAGTATATTAGTCAATACTAGGGTTTCAGCCCCCTCCACCACAAATCTCAAACGCCTATGGCCTGTCCCCTTCAAAAGTTGTTTAAGTTTATTGAGACTTGAGAAATTATTACCTATTTGAGAATTATCATTTATCATACAAATATACAATCACAATACAATTATTGGAAATTCTAACTTATACTATTCCAATTAATTAGGTAATTAATCAGCAGGGCTAGGATTTATATGCAACAGCATGTTTTTTTTGCGACTTCTGATTAGTGATTTTATCAGAAATGTCCACGAATCACCTCATGATGAAATAAATGGTGGTATTTTTATTTTGCATGTTTTTGCATATTTTTTTGGCCAGGAATTATTTAGAATAGTATATAAATATTAATAATAATATTTTTAAAATAATAATAAGTGATATTTTAATAGTCATTCGCTATTTAATTATTTTGTTCATCACACTTTGTTTCTTTTAAGAAATAATTAATCGCCAAGTAAATAAATTATTGAAACACAATAAGTTTACTTAAATTCAATATACTTAGAATTTATTCATGATATCACATCTTGATATAGTGCTTAAAGATCTTATGTTTTTTTTTACTTTACAATTTTTACACGTAGTTTACGAAAGGTTTTTGTAGAGATTTTATTATAAGGGATCAGTTGAATTTTAATTTTTACGAACTCGAACTTAATTTTTTTGAAATGAATGTGATACTAATTTCTTAAAACTTTTGAACAATAATATTTCGCTTGAACTATCGAGATGTTTAAATTCAAACTCAATTTCCCCGATTATCAACAGATTGAACTTTGAGCTTTATAAGTTCGAGGGCTCATAGAATCCGGGGACCCATGTCTATACATTTGGAGTTGGCGCCCGAAGGCAAATCCGTTTTAGAAAACAAAAAAAAACATTAGAAAAAATTAAACAATAGGACCACACATTAAAGAATTCAAACGAAAATGTCCAGATTCTCAAACAGATAAAAAAAACAAAAAAAAAAATTAGAATTTAAACAATAGGACCACACATGAAAGAGTTCAAACAAAAAGGTCCAGAAACTTAACAGACAAAACTATTCAAAATGATAAGATCATTAAAGCAAGTTGATTCATAGGGCCAATGCAGGTTATCAACGTTCAAGTCTAAACAAAATAATTAACTAGAGTTAAATAACTAAAAAAAAAACTTGAAGGGGGATGTTGGCGCCCGCAGGCAAATGCGTTGTAGAAAACAAAAAAAAAAAAATTAGAAGAAATTAAACAATAGGACCACACATGAAAGAGTTCAAACAAAAAGGTCCAGAAACTTAACAGAAAAAACTATTCAAAATGATAAGATCATTAAAGAAAGATGATTCATAGGGCCAATGCAGGTTATCAACGTTCAAGTCTAAACAAAATAATTAACTAGAGTTAAATAACTAAAAAAAAAAACTTGAAGGGGGATGTTGGCGCCCGCAGGCAAATGCGTTGTAGAAAACAAAAAAAAAAAAATTAGAAGAAATTAAACAATAGGACCACACATGAAAGAGTTCAAACAAAAAGGTCCAGAAACTTAACAGAAAAAACTATTCAAAATGATAAGATCATTAAAGCAAGTTGATTCATAGGGCCAATGCAGGTTATCAACATTCAAGTCTAAACAAAATATTTAACTATAATTAAATAACTAAAAAAAAAAATTGAAAGGGAGAGTTGGCGCCCGAAGGCAAATCCGTTGTAGAAAACAAAAAAAAAAAATTAGAAGAAATTAAACAATAGGACCACACATGAAAGAGTTCAAACTAAAAGATCCAGAAACTTAACAGAAAAACTATTCAAAATGATAAGATCATTAAAGAAAGATGATTCATAGGGCCAATGCAGGTTATCAACGTTCAAGTCTAAACAAAATATTTAACTAGAGTTAAATAACTAAAAAAAAAAAAATGAAGGGGGGTGTTGGCGCCCGAAGGCAAATCCGTTTTAGAAAACAAAAAAAAACATTAGAAGAAATTAAACAATAGGACCAAACATTAAAGAATTCAAACGAAAATGACCAGATTCTTAAACATATAACAAAAACAAAAAAAAAATTAGAAATTAAACAATAGGTCCACACATGAAAGAGCTCAAACTAAAATGTCCAGAAACTTAACAGAAAAACTATTCAAAATGATAAGATTATTAAAGAAAGATAATTCATAGGGCCAATGCAGGTTATCAACGTTCAGGTCTAAACAAAATATTTAACTAGAGTTAAATAACAAAAAAAAAAATTGAAGGGGGATGTTGGCGCCCGCAGGCAAATGCGTTTTAGAAAAAAAAAAAAAATTAGAAGAAATTAAACAATATTTCTACACATTAAAGAATTCAAATGAAAATGCCTAGATTCTTAAACAGATAACACCAAACAAAAAAAAAAAAATAGAAGAAATTATAAGCTATTTATATAAGCTATTATTGATATGTAGGTACTTCTTTTGAGTAGATAATTCGTTCAATGATATTTAAATATTTTCACCGATAATCAAGTACGATGACTTGTAGGTAACTAGAGACTGAGTGAATAGGAATTAGGAAGTGTATGATGTGGCGATAAGGAAAGAGGTCAACCGGATTTCAGAATGTTTAGCTTATGAAAGGGAAATGCGAAAAGGAAATGTAATTTTAGGTTAGGTTTGGGAAGTGTGTGTAGCAGATATGAGAATATTAAGTTAGGTGTTGAGGTACAAAGGAAGATAGAATAGGAAATTTATTAATTAAAGGTTGTGTAGTGTTGTGTTGTGGCATATATTGTAGTGAAAACAAGAGAGAACAGGTTTAGGTGACTCCGTGACTGTATGATAAAATATAGTGAGAGTGGCTATAGAAGTTAGAGTCTGAAGAAAAGATGGATAGACAGAATACCGATCATATGGAGGTGTGGGATGAGAGTGGTTGAACCTAAACAGTTGTGAGAGAAGGGGGAAGAAAAAGGGTGAAGGTAGAATAGTTATGTTAACAATGCCGAATACGTAGTAAAGGATCTTGAATTGCAAAGGTCACTTGACTCTTTGGCTGAAACTACCGTTTTCAGTTGATATAGGTTTACAACCTTGACTTATGGGATAGAATAAAAAACATCGGTTGCCGGTTGGGATGTCAGCGCCATAGATATATACAACAACTAGATAGCCGTCTCCTTTTTGTCATCGAAGTCGACCCCCCATTTACAAAGCAGGCAATGTTTACAAAATAATATTATCATAGTATAATATATGTATATAAATAAATGTAAACATTGCCTGCTTTATAAATGGCGGCCGATTTCAACATTGGTCACAACTGTAATATAAAGACGGCTATCTAGTTGTTGTATATATCTATGGCGATGACATCCCAACCGGGAATTCGGGGGAGGGGGGACAAAAGGAGCAGTTGCTCCAAGCGGCAGGGACGGCCAAATAATTGGCAGGAATACGATTGAGAACGGTCATTATTGGCGATACCTTTCTTAGACCCTTTTGACTATTACGATTGAGAACGCTCAGTTTTTATTTTTCCGCCCAACGTTGCCAAACTTTGCCATATAATAATCGGCTATGGCTATAGCCTATATAAATATATATGACTCTTAGCACTGCTCACACACTATGTAGCAGGAATAAACGTCTTTAAAACTCAATACTATTCAACAGGGTACTGTTCAAAAGGCATCAAAAGCAGATGAAGAAAAAATTTCAAAAACAATACAGTCTTATATTAACTACTGTCAAAAAAATCTTCTGAAGGATTAGTAAAATATTTAACACATATGGGAAATTTATATAGGGAAATTAAACTGTAAATTATTTTTAAATGTTTGTACTATTGGTACCTACCAATAATACAAATTTTTTTTAAAAATTATGACATTTTTAAAATTTATAATTTTTAATTATTTTTCATCAATGTTTTATTTCATTTTTATTTTGACTTGAATATAGTTCGGCAACGTTGCACTTAATTTCGTTCTCAATAGTACTGTTTTATTGGGTCAGCGGTTATTTCATTGTTCCATTTCGAGTGATCTCAATCGTACGCTAAAAAAGGTCGAACGTTCTCAATCGTATTACAGCCAAATAATTAAGAGTGGCAAAAAAATGTCATTTGTAATATAATAAAAATAAAATATTTAGTAGAATAAATATTAATTTTTTTTTTACGAATTTGCGATGTCAATATTGTCAGAATATCTAAAATCGTAATGGAATCTTATATTAGAACTTATAGGTCTACTTATTTTAAGAGAACGCTGTTTGTGGACCTTGTTTTCGTAATAAACTAGTACCTGCGTGGCTGCGTACTAATTGAACTATTTTTAATATTATCATTATTCATCACTACATAATATATTGACATGTTATAGCCGCCGGGGCACCGAACTGCCAGAATTATATACGATATTGCCACCTACCATTATATTGCAGTACTGACTACTGAGACTATGTAACTTGTTATTCGATTATAGTATCTATTATATTCCTATATATTTGTATCTTTACTATTTACTTGTACAAGAAATAACGAAGGTTTTGAACTTGGTAAATTTTTAGGATAATGTTAGTGTTATATTATATTTAAAATTTTAGACATAGTACCTATACCGACTTCCTTAGTCGTTTATCATTACAA